AAATATACGTCAGGGTTCTGTTAGTGCCGCGAACGTAGGGCGATTGGGGTTAAGAGCACGGGAACGGTGGTCATTGAGGGCTTCATGTCGATCAGCTTGCGCATGTCGTTGTAAGGCATGGTGTCAATCTTCTCGATACAGTGAGAAAGGCGGAAGCCATCGAAGAAATTGACGAAGGGCACACGAGCACGAAGGGTGGCCAAGTGGGCAATGAGAGCCATATCGTGCGACTCCTGCACAGTGTCAGAGTTGATCATGGCGAAACCGGTCTGACGAACGGCCATGACATCCTGATGATCACCGAAAATGGACAGGGACTGACCAGCAAGGGCTCTGGCGGCCACATGCATAACGCAAGGGAGAAGTTCACCAGCTATTTTGTACATGTTGGGAACCATAAGGAGGAGACCTTGACTGGCAGTATAAGTAGTCGCCAACGAACCAGCAGCCAAAGCACCGTGAAGGGCACCGGCAGCACCAGCTTCGGACTGCATCTGCGTGATCTTCACAACATCACCGAAGGCATTCTTAACTCCGAGCTCTGACCACTGCTCAGCGAGCTCAGCAGCAGGGGACGAGGGAGTAATAGGGAAGATGTAGGAGGTATCCGTCATAGCATAGGAAACATGACAGGTCGCAGTGCAGCCATCAACAGCTTGCCACTGACCTCCACCTGAAAAAAACAACACAGATGAAACAGGAGTCAAGGAACTCAAAGAGTAGCACAGGTATCACTCTACTCACGAGCTCAAATTACTTGGTGTAGTTTTTCCAGCGAAGTGCCTGGAAGCGGTAGCAGCTACGGCACTCTGGGACGGTCTGATGGCACTGCGGGCTGCCATCGCCGCAGAACGACTATGATTCATAGTCGACAGCATTGCTTTACAAAGGGAATGCCAACTGATAGTAACAGTAACGGTAAGTATCGCCCTTCTCTCCTTATACTCTCGTATCGATAGATTCGCATGAAGAACAAACGAACTCCTCCCCTAACCCTAACGGCACAGCTTCTTAGCTAACACACAAAAGGAGACAGTTCCCTACAACCACATCGAAAATTCCCTGATGTATACCTCTCGTTTCTGAATCTCTTAACTTGCTGTCTTCGTCCATCTTAACTTGAACACTCCTATACTCTTTACGGTTCACCCAGGCGGGTTACTTACAACACAACAGCAAATACCCCCACTTTGTTAGCTCTTCGGGGAATGGGAAATATGTCACTTTAACGGAGTAAAACGAAATATCAACACATAATACAAACAAGTCCATGAGCATACACCAAATGTGAGGCAGTATATGCTGACAAATTCCCCGGCTTCTTTAGCGGAAGATACTCACAGCTTTAAGATTCACAGCGTCAACACAAAATGTGTGTAAAATTTTCCGCCGTCACAACGAAGAAAGTGCGCATCTCCATACCGTGAAATCGTTTGAGTCATGACCCAATGTATTCGGTGGTTGGGTGTGCGCATTCAGATAGGATGAAGTTCATAAGTAACCAACAACCGAACCGTCAAGCCCTTTGATATAGGGAATGCAGATGGCGCGCGCCCAAAAACTCAAGGATGGATTGTTTTGAAGTACCTGAGATTTCTGAGTGGCGACGATGCTAGAACCTCCTGGAATGCACTGAATTGGACCTGCTTTGAATCTTTTGCGAGTAGCCTCGAGATATTAGCCAGCTTCATAGATTCAACGCAGTGTCAACCACAGCATATCTGTGACAGTTGACCTCAAAGGTATCATATGCAGTCAACCTCGAGATATCTTGCACTACAACCTTTTTGTTTCCCTGCGGTCCACCGCAAATGTTGTATTATTCGATCAACCTCACGCCGAAGGATATCAACCCAGGGGGGAAGGAGACTCCCGGAGTCTCATTATCACTGATAGCTTCAGTTTTAATGCCAACAACTCCCGGCTCACCAACAACGAAGTATAGCGTACTAGGAGAACACTCAGAAGTGAGATGCTTACACGGATGAAAATCAGGTCGTCCTCTCACCCTATGTGCATCTTAGGGTCCTTCCCAACCCTTGCTTACGGACCCGTCCCCGCCCCGGTCTCAGCCACTCAATTCATCCCGTGCATCCCTCATAGTGTGTGAGTTGGTTCATGTTAGAGTTGATCTCCTATCGCTCTCCAAGGTCTGTTCACCTTCTTACTGGCATTTAAACCAAGTCAACCGCACATGGCTCAGTACTTACGACAAGTCAAGGGCTTCTCCCAAGCTGACATCGTGCACTACATCTTTCCAATAGCAGCGTAATTCACCAATCTCCGAAAGCGAGTGAATTCTAACCCTCAGTTACGCCCAGTTTGTTTTCGTAGTGCTGCAAGGCTACATCTGTGAATTCCTCGGGTACTGTCTCTCGACACTCTCGTGTGGAACTGCCGTGTGTTAAGGTACAAGCACGCCATCATAATGGGTGCTGCCGGGAGAGTTTGTACCAGGATGTGTATGATTTACGGTACGGAAATTTGGCACTTCCAACTGAGCGAAGTTTGCTACAGTACTCAACAACATCAACTCCTTCGTCTCGCTACCTTACACAGTGTAGGTATGGGCTCGGCAATGCTCATCATATTCGGCGGATATATATTCAATTTGGTTACGAAGGAGAACTACCAGAAAATCATCGCCCTTCAGCAAGTGGCAACTCTCGGTGGACATGTAAAGTGATCAGCTCAGTTCTTCAAGGCATCACTACGGCTCAGGTGTCTTCCGGCTACGTCGGAGATATATTGCTCAACGTTCTCAACTGCGACCTCATAATTCTCGTATACATATCAGCAGGTGAATCCCATTGGAACCAGGGGCCTTTGAGAATTCATATTCCCAAGGGT